TACCGTGTCCTTGGAAAATTCACCTTATGCTAACAATATTGAAACTGAAAAATTGTGGCATTATCGTGACCCTAGTACTAAAATTCAAGGACCATTTTCCATAATGCAGCTGCGTAAGTGGAGTACAACTGGACTCTTCCCGCCTGATATGAGGATATGGACAAATAATGATCAATATGATTCCTTGCTTCTGACTGATGCTTTAAGCGGACAGTTTCGTGGATCATCGGAGGTGCTGTATAACTTCTCTGCACAGTCACGGGAACTTGGGACTGCCCCTGATAATAGATTACTTATGTCTGACATGGGGGGGAGCGAGGATATGAATAAAACTGGTAGAGACAGTAATCAAACAGAGACAGTGTTGCACTGTAGTAATCTGAATGTTTTGTCCAATAAAAATACCGAAATTGTGATGCCAGATGGAACTGGTTCCTCGGGGCCACAGTGTTGGGATTTGTTGAATGAAAATAATTCCAGTACTGGTGAAGTCCAAGAAAGTAGTGTGGTTCCTTCATCAAGCCTTGGGCAAACAAATATAGCTCATCTGGATCGAGGCCACGAAAGTGATGGGTTGGACTATGGTGCACAATGTGGAGACATGAATACAAGTGGACCAATGGAAGTTCAGATGAGTGGTGGGCATGATTGTGAAGATCAATCTAATAATCAGAGCCAACTTGGTCAATCCTCTAAAGAAAATGTGAGATCTTCGCCCATTAATTTAAACTCGAGCATCATGGATTCTACCTCTGATTTTGCTGATGTAGCCAAGCTGCCTAGCTCATCTAAACAGGATGGCTACACTGATATCTTGGATCTTCCTAGTCCTACACCTGGGAGAAGCAACAAGGATTGTGAAGTTCAGACAGCTGAAAGACAGCCATCAATGTCTTCAAATTTTCCCATGCAAAATTCAGATATCATGAAGGAGCCAACTCCTACCCCCAAGTCAAACAATGAAGATCAGGGTGATCAGGTTGCTGTGACTGAGAAATCTGCGTTGACGAGTTCGCCTGCTCCAAATACTGGCCCTAACTGGGGCAGTGCTTCTAGTCTAGTAGTCACTGGGGCACAACTGCCTGAAATAGCCGATGAATGGTGTGGATATTCCCCTACACCCTCTAAACAATTTGTGGAGGAATGGGATTCTGCTCTTGTCCCTTCATCTTCATTGAAACCTCCTGAAGTTACACATGCACATTTCACTACTGCGACTTTAGATGGTAACCAACTCACTCAATCTCCTCCATCCCTTCCTGTCCCAACTTTACCTGATTGGCAGATATCAATGAATGAGCCAATTGAATTTGATGCTTTGGGTGAGGATTCAGTGTCAGATTTGTTAGCTGAAGTTGATGCTATGGAATCACAAGGTGTCTTCCCTTGTCCCGCTTCAGCCATGAAATTCAGTAAGGAATTGATGGAAGATTTTAAAGATGATTGTTTTAGTTCAATTGACGATTTCAGTCCTACACCTGATCCTGGAAAAAGTGATGCGTTGAGCTCCACGGAGGAGATACAGCTAAATTGTCAGTATGCCATGGGATGCAAAGCAATTGGTGCATCTAACTCTAATGCTCTTGATCCTTTTAGGAGGCCTAGTGTACATTCATCTGCAAGTAGTGAGGGAGAAACTAGTTTCCCAGTTTACCAAGGGGAAGCCGGATCAGAATTCCATCCTCCTGCACCAAACAACATGAGTCAAGACATGGTTGGCACAACAATGGCTCTTGGCACTGGATCGGAAGCAACGGACTCTGGTCGGGTAATGGTGCAGGGTAACATTAATCTGGTGACCGTTCAGGGTAATGTTAATCTGGTCTTGGGAGGATCTTCTCAGGGAATGACCGATCTTGGTTGGGGAACAAACCAAGGGACAGCATGGGGAAATCCTAACACAAATTGCAGTGCTCCAAATGGAAGTCTACCATGGGATGGCCAACGAATATATGGTGGGGAAAGGTTTACGGGCCCTAGAGATTGGGCATATCAAGGTGGGGAACCTGGATTTGGGAGGGGCAGGCCCACATGGGGTAGGCAGCCTTATGGTGGTGGGGGATATTCTAGGCCTCTTCCCAAGGGGCAGCGAGTTTGTAAATTCTATGAGAGTGGGCGTTGCAAAAAAGGAGCATTCTGCGACTATCTACACCCATGACTGTTTAGTTCAAATGACAGTGTCTTGCAGATAAATTTTTAGTTTTGAATGACTTTCTAGTGGGAATGTTCATGTTTTTGGATATGAAGTCTCTATGAAGTTCATTTGAAGCTTTAGGTAATTGTTGGGCACGCCTATTTTTTTAACAAGAATGCTGTGTTGATGCTCTCAGATTTTGTAACCAAGACAGGCCCTTTTCAGATGAAGCTGCCCGTCCTGTGACGAACAGCTCAAAATGAGCTTTGCAATCAGACTAGGACGTTCCCGTGAAGTGATTCCCTCTACAGTTAATCTTTAGAGTAAACTCTCTAGATGTAGTAGCTTTACTTGACACCAAATTTATTGCTAGAAACTGCATAATTCAAATATTAGACCAAAATTCCTAGGAGAGCATAGAGGAAATTGAGGTTGAACCGATTGTGAATGGAGGAATTAATGGAAATCGTATACTTGAATTGGACCTTGTGATCCTCTGGGTAATGTGATATCTACATAGCCCGTCATAAGTTCCATATATATTAAAGTCGTAAAAATTTTCTGAATGGATTCTTGAGTAATCCCATGTTAGAATATTTACGTGGGACATTATATGATTTTACACATGAGATACATGTTTTTATTTTTACAAGTAAAGCTCTTTACATGATTGCGTCACAATGATTATTGTGTATTAAAAAGAGAGAAATGCTACCTACATAGCCTCTATGCAATAGAGCCTTCATAGGCACACACACATGAGGGTGGATCACACACATAGAGTCCACATGTGGGGTCCACCCCCCATGTGAGATGTCCTCTACAGGCCCTGTGCAACAGGGTCTGTGCAGGAGGCATTTCACTTAAAAAGACGTTACTTTCATTGTTCGATTCAACGCAGTGAACTACTATGAGTTTTTCGAAATATAATTTTGATACTTGAGGTGACAAGTCATAGGTGTTGTATTAAAGTACAAAGCAAATTTAAGGACTCTTTGAGTGAGTTAGATGAGGGGAAAATCTTGTTCTGATCAATGAAATTAATCTTTATTTTGTTCTGATTGAATCATTAAATTTGAAATTCGTTCCAGTTACATTATGTTAGTGTAAACCAACAACACATGTGGACGACATTGTTAGCGTCATAATTATATCGTTAAAATGTTGTTTTTGCACGTTACGCTAAATACATTTTAAATGATATTTAAGTTTTACGATCCAAATGCTATTTGAAAACAGAAATAATGGTAAAAACATGGGGTTAAATATATCAATGGTCACCAAGTTTTATACTTAGTGTCACTATGGTCACTCAATTTGATTTTATTTAATCATGGTCACCCAACTTTATAATTAGCATCACCATAGCCACTGAATTTGATTTTATTTCATCATGATCATCAAATTTCATAGTGTTTCACCATGGCCATCCAACATCTTTTTACCATTTTCACTAAATTTAAAAGGGATAAAACAGTAACTTTGCATTATATATAAAAAAAATATTTAAGAAAAGAAAAAATAAAATAAAAACTTATTTTTTTTAAAAAAAAAATGTTGCTTAGAAAATAAAATAAAATGAAAATTATTTTGAAAAAAAAAAGGTTCCTTAAAAAGTAAAATAAAATAAAATTTATTTAAAAAAAGTTACTTAGAAAAATAAAATAAAAACCTTTTNGGGGGGGGGGGGGGGGGGGGGGGGGGGGGATGTTCAGAAAGAGTGAAATTGACTTTTTATCATCAAATTAGTCCTTTAAAAAAAAAAGGGGAAAAAAGGAAAAGAAGATATATGTGAGACATCTTTCACTTTTTGCCATTTGTAATAGATTATTTACAAAATATGTATTTCTTTGCATATTCTGGTATTGATTTGTTCTTAGTTTCTGTTTCAAAATCAGTTGCTGGAGGTAGAGATAGTGAGGCTAAATCATCTTCGTGATCGTGCTAGTGAGAAGGGGCATAAGAAGGAATATCCTTTCTTAATTAATTTGCATTTTAGAGCATGGAATGATGTTTGTGCTCCGAGTTCAATAAAAGCAATGTAATTCCTGTACACATAAGGAGCTAGAAATATAAATTTCTATTATACTCGGACATGATTCACAGGTTAAGAGATGAAGAGTCTCCATCGAATTTTTTCCTCTTGATATAGTATTGCTTGAAAACGGGGAAAAGGAATTTACTGAAAGGTGGATTTTGACTCAGTTGACATGATAACCCACACTAAATGTACTTTCTAGAATTGGGACTATAATTGATATCTTGGTCTTTCGAGAGATTTGCCAACGAGCTGCAGAAAGAATCATGTCACATTCCATACTATATTATTAATATACAATGCATACGCTTCACTCCCTCTTTTGTCATAAACAATATTCTGTCTTTGACATTATCAAATCCTGAACATGGATAAGAAATGCTCAACTATGAACTTGGAATTGTGTGTTTAAAGGTGACATGATGGATTTACAAGTGGGTAATTATAAGAAGTCATTTCCTTGTATTCATTGCTTGCATGATTTGAGTCAATTGTTCCATCATGTCTCTTAACATGAACGGCTTATATAAATCTCCATCATTGGTTATTGAATGATTCTTACTGTGTCCTCAACTCTAATGTTGTTTTAGCAATGCAATTCACAATTTAATAGAATTATTCCACTTCTCTTATTTTCTCTCGTTAAGAAAAGAATTACCAATACAAGTTTGGGTGTGTTTTACTTCTCTCTTTTCTTGCCACTGCAATGTTGACGTGAAAAGATCTTGCCTGTATCTCCTGGCTTTCTTGACTATCTCACGCTCAGAGAGTATGTAGAGAAGTTACAGCTTTTGAAGTCAACTGAGGAACGCCAACGGAGACTTCGTGAAATTCCAAAGATTCATGCTGATCCAAAAATGGATCCAAAATATGAATCAGAAGATGATGCCGAAGGTGGTAATAACAGTAAGAAAGGTATGTAAAATTATTATGCTTTTAAACGTGGAACTATTTTGTCTTTCCATTATTTGTTTTATTTGCATTTCATGTTAATTAGGATTCTCAGTGATGCTGATCATATTATGCAGATGGGAATTTGAGGCCAAATGTTTCTGGATTTACTCGAAATGGAAAGCAACCATTAAAAAAGGGTGAGGTTTGAAAAATAATCCAGTGATAAATCATATATGAGTTAAGACCTTGTAACTTAAG